CCGACCATCCCAGTGGAAGCTCTCACTCAAGATGACGGCTGTGTTCAAGAGGAGCTGGCGCGGAGGGCAGAGATGAAGCGTTGCAGCTTGGCTGTGCCCTTCAACAATGTTTCTCAAGGGCTGGCTGCGCGGTCGGGTTGAAGACCCCCCGACTGGCAAACCCCTCGGACGGAGAGTTTGACGCATCAGGGGTTCGTGCGCAATGTTTGGCTGGAGTTGTGACATTATGTGTTTCCAGGAGCGCGTGTTGGTTGCTGGTTTTCCCAAGCACAAGCAGAGCACTTCTTAGGCCCATCAGTTAAAGGCATCTCGTCTGTTGTTATCACGGTTTTACCCAGGAGACAAACACCCAAACCATCGGGCGCATCGAGCGTGGGACGGGCTGAAGAACACGGATCTTCAGGGGTGCTGCTTTTGAGAAGCGCCTTCTTGGTGGCCTCGCAATCCCAAGCTCAATATGCGCTTCTTAATTGTTGCAAAAAGTTGAAAGACATTTGACTTCTCTTGGAGGTTTGACTAAGAAGCCCACAGGGGTCAACACGGGCCCTGTCCGCTGACATGGAACTGGCCGCGAATTTGGGCAAGCAGTGGCCGTTGGCCACGCCGCGCGCCAAGCGCGAAAATGAGTGGTTTGACAAGCGCCACAGAAGGGAACAGGAAGTGATCCTTTTCAAGGAAAGCGAGGGCCGTGCTTGGATTGATTCCTCGCAGTTTGTTCACCGGGCTAGGGGCTGCAAGGACCCGGCTGTTGTACCAACCCTGCTTCCTGGCACGCACCTTTGGTGCCAGCGCCAGCAGAGGTTTTTGTGTGGACAGGACTATCTGGCGCTGCAAGGCCTGCCCCACCAGTCGTTCGCCTCGCTGACCCACCACCTGAAAGCCGACATGGCCGGAAATGCTTTTTCCACCACGAGTGTCATGGCTGCCCTGAGCGCCATCTTGGGGCAAGTCACTTGGAACTGAATGTCCTTGTCTGTTGTTTGTTTCTTTGTACTTGTGCTGTTTCGCAATTGGTTACACTTACGCTGACACTGCGCTAAAGTCTCAGCCGAAGCCTAAACCCAAGTGATCAAGCGTGAGCGCTGGTTCCGGCAGACACATCCTGTCACACTCAGAGGTTGTCCCTTGTATCGGTTTTGTTCCCCAACAGGTGAAAGCTTTGGGCAGATAGGCTCCGGGCTCCTGAGCTAAGGTTCCACAAGGGTTCCACCAGCGTTCTGCAAGGGCTGGGTCTGTTCCACAGGGTGTTACAAGACGAGGTTCCGTGGAGGGCATGCGGTGGTCTGGGGCAGCGCTGAGGTACGGTTTCACAGAGTTCCACAAGTGAGTGGTGTTGAGGCAAGTTGCACAGGGCTCTGGGTCCCACACGGATGCTGCGCAAAACCGGCGGCAATTGTTTGCTCTTGGACTGCTGCTTTCAATCCCGGACAAACCCTTGATTTAGGCTGGCTGCAAGCTAAGGATTCGGGCAGCGATGGCAGCACAAGCCAAGTTTTGGCAGACATTTTGCACGCGTATGATGATGCGCGCTCCCGGATTTGATCGCTTGTTTTTTTGTGGCACTGCTGCCGCCGAATGGCTGCAGGCCACAGATATTGAATTCACCGCACTCCCTGCGAGCTGTAATTTGGCAAGTTTTGTGTTGGCTTACAACACTTGCAGCATATAAAGTCAGCAGATAGATCCTGTCACTATGCGCTTTTTTTGCGCTAGGCGCGCCGGCCTGCGCAAAGTGCGAAGGGGACGATGGGGACAAGGCCAAGGCAAAGCGCGAATGGATCAGGCACTTTTAGCCGAGCCTTTTCAGACATGGCCATGGCCAAGAGTTGCAAAGGTGAAGTGTTTTTCTTTTCTGTGGTTTCTTCTTCAGCTTCTGCCTGGTTCCCGTTTTGAGATCAGTCTGCAAACAGCTGCGATATCATCCAAGTGATCGCGGAGTGGAAAGGCTGGAGTTGCGAGGGGAGGGGTTTAAACCGCAGTTTAGACTCCAGACGGTGTTTAAACCTCTAAAACTTGAAACCATGTTTGAGCCAGCATTATTGCTCCCAGCCGCGCATCGGGCTTTGGCTTGGGTCGATCGGAAGGTTTTGCTTCAAACAAGGAATGAATGAATGGTCAACAGGTCCGGTGAAGAGTTTGTGGTTAAACTTAGCACGTTGGAAGGCGGACGCGAAAGCCGCACAGAAGGAGGGCATACTCTGCAACACACATGGGGTCCGTCACGGGGGCATATTTGACATATACGTTGGCAGGGCGAAGATAACATGATATGAATTGTTAAATGAAATGTTGGTGCCGGCTGGTGCCCGGTATGGCCTCTTGAGGATGGCCCTTAAATATTGATGATTTGTGTGCGTTTGTGTGTGTGTAGGTGTGTGTGTGTGTTTGTGCTTTAGTTTCTGCATGTGTGGAAGGTACGTATGTGTGTATGCATGTACGTAAGTACATGCATAAAGGCAAGTATGTACGTGTGACGCACAAATGCATAATTGTAATGTACGTATGCGTGTGTGTAGATATATACATGTATGTGTACGCGTGGAGTGTGTGTGTGTGTGTGCTTGTAGGCATTTGTATATATGTACTCCGGTATGTAGGTATGTGTGTATGCATGTGTGTATATCTGCCGTGATAAACCACACAGCCCCAGAAGCCGAAAGCAGTTCCCGAAACATAGATGCTGCCAACAAAACACTAACAAGCCAAACCGAAAGGCGCTTCCCAAAACATGAGTGCTGCTACGCTTAAAAAGTGCGTTCATCCAAAAGGCGGTTCCCAAAACATGGGCGCTGTCGCATTTCAACCAAAAACAAAAGCACTTCCCAAAACATGTGCGCTGCCCCGTATTGAAAATAAACGCATGTGACGATAAGCCGGAAGCCGCTTCTCAAACCACATATGTACCTACGGTTCAAGAGGGCGCTTTGAATTAACCAAAAGGCGCTTCCAAAAACATGGGCGCTGCCACGTTCAGAAAAACATGTCTTGAGAAAATATAAAACTGACAGGGGCTTGTCTAAACATGGGTGCTGCCGCGTAGAAAAAACAAGGGTTGTGTTAAACCGAAAGGCAGCTCCCAGTCTGGCTGCTACCACATTGAAGAAAATCTGGAGGAGAAAGACGCCCTGAAGACGGACGCTGCCACGTTTCACAGAAGGGCTTCCAAAAAGGTGGGCGCTGCCACGTTGCAGACAAATGGGCGCTACCACACCAAAGAAAACAAGTCCGGAGTAGAAATGCGCCTCCCCAAACACGGGCGCAGCTGCGTTTCAACAAGAAACACGCAATGCACCGCAAGGCGCTGCCAAAACATTGACACTCCACATTCTCAAACACACATGCGCGGTATACCAAAAGGCGCTTCCCAGAACGTGGGCGCTGCCACGAAAATACAAAAATGCGTCTTACAGGACATGTGCTAAACCAAAACGTGCTTCCAAACCACAGAAACAGGTCTGGAACAGAAAAACGTCTCATGCCACGTCTCAACCAAAAAAGACACGTGCAATGAACTGCACGGTGCTTGCCAAAACATGGGCGCTGCCACAAACACAAATCTGGAACAGAAAGCCGCCTCGTATGAACTATTGTTGAGACCCACTGGCCAGCGGGAAAAGTGGAACACGCATCAGCGTATGATAAACCAAACCATCAATGTCTGAAAACAGTTTGCGAAAATATGTATCGCCGAAGGCTCTATGATGAAAGGTGGTCCATATAAGAAGAGCTTTACAAGTGGCGGTTTAAGGCCTGCTTCTTGAAAATAGAACTGGCTTACTCAAGCAGTATTGGAATGGCCGAGGTGAATACACAGAGTAAACTACGACTCATGCTGTTTTGCTAAATGAGATTACAAGTAGGAACGAGAGAATAATCCTTTTAATTCAGCCTTTATGTGCAAACAAGCGCCAGTATATACTAAAGTAAAATGTTCATCAAATGGTCAGGTGCTACGAAATCTAATCATGTTCGTACACATGATACATTATATACAAACAAGATCTAAACCAGTGCTTCATAATACGCCAATCAAGAAACGCTGCGATATGTTGAATAAGGGTCAAAACAAAACCCAAAAGCCAACTACTGTAGAATTTGAAGAAATCAGCAAGCATGACCAAGATGAATGCGTACGTTTGTAAGCTTAATTTTACAATCATTCCAACAAATAATCTGAAGTTCTTCAAAACTTTTCAGGAGCCAGAGAAAATTGGGCGAGGGTGATGTAAAACACGAACAGAAAGAAAAATGCAAAAAATCCGGGTGGTTAATTGGGGAGATCTTGATGACTTGATAAATCACACGTTTTGTGACATTCCTAGGGTCAGGATGCAAAAACCATAGGGTCAGGATGCACACATCCTAGGGCCAGGATGACCTACGCAGCATTGAAGATTGCCTACTAGGTGGTAAGATTTGTCCGACTGCCCTGGGCCGATGTACTTGCGCTTTTTCTGGCAAATGGGATTGCCTACCGGGCAAGCGGGCTTGCATACCCCAAAATGAAATCAAGCATCTTTCTGGCAAGTGGGCTTGCCTACTTGGCGCTGCGTGGCGCCGATCTGGCACAAGGCAGTGCCTTGGAGGCACACGGCAGGGACGTGGAGGTGCAGGGCATTGCCGACTGCACGCTGGACATTTTCAAGCAGGCAAATTAAATGGGGCGCGGAATTATTTTGGGAATGATTTTCATATTTTTTGAGTTTGTTTTATCCGTTTCTCGTCCGGGCCAATAAAATGTTGTTTACAGCATTGTCTCGCAAAAATGACGCGCATTTTACACTAGCCCGTCAACACCCCGCATGTCCGACCAACATCCCTAGCATCACCAACAAATCGTGGGTAACAAAATCAAAACAGTAGCTGGCGGGTTGACGGGTTCAAAAATGATGATTCAAATAGGAGGGCGCTTTTGCTAGCCAAACAAGCATTATGGTGCCCCACCCCGCCCTTTACTTTCCCAGATTTGCGGACTCACGCTCGCAAAGCTGCCAGGGCACCACTTTGGGATCACACACGCCTTCTTCAGTGAGGGAGCCTCGGCTTTCAGCTGCCGCAACTCCGTCGCGGCTCAGGGGCCGTGTTAATGATTTACTGCGCGCTTCCAGAATCTTTCTTCAATTTCTAGATTTATGCGACTCCAACCGGCAATGGGCACATAATGGGTGGGACACTAGTATGGCAAGACGTCACAGGAACCTCAAAATCTTCGGGATCAGCGAAGTTGGAGTGGCTGCACTCGTGTTATACAGCAAATAGGGAAGCGGACTCGCTCATACTGGAGGCCCCTTGCTTGAGCACTCCATAGTTGCTGCCAACTGCTGCGAGAGACTCATAAGCGCTTGCTCGTCGGCCCCTGAACTTGGTGACTACTGCTCACATACCCAAAATCCAACATGGCCACGCCTGTCTCAATCTGCATGCCTGCTTTGACATGAAATTTCCGGGCGACCTGGCAACATATTGCAAGCTTCCTTTGGAGTCAGCTGCCTTGCGCTCACTGTTCACCAGCCTTGACCCAACAATGCACAGGAGCAAAGATGCCTTCACGCCCCAGCCAAGAGACGCTTGTAGCCCGCAAAAGGCTTTTTTCTGGCCCTGGCAGACCGCAGGCTGCTCACAACGTGAGTCAGAATCAAGCTTTCAGAATGGGCAAGGGGCGCCTTTGGCTTACCCTGTCAACAAACCCAAAAAGGAAACCCACCTTTTACCTACAGGGGTTGCGGATGCTTGCCGCACCGGGATTGAAAATAGCCACAGGCTCAACTCAGGCTCGCATTGCGTTTCGCAGCAAGAGGAAAACGCCCATCCGCCGACCCCTTATCCCAAGGGCGAGGCGTGGTCACAGCTACGGGTGTCGTCAGAATGCAGTAGCGAACTTTCATATCATGTTCTTGAGCGTCGCAAGTGCCGATGACCTATTTCTTGTGAAAAGGACTCAGGTGTGACTTTAGAAGTCGGCGCAGGGCGCAAGCCATTGCGAGTGCATACCAGCATGGCCACACGCAACTGCCGCAGCTTCCCCTCTTTGGGCGAACACAGGAAGCAAAATTGCTGGCAAGTTGTTGCGAGACAGTGGGTGTCTCATCATCGTGGTCAAGGTCTACTTGGGTTGCTCGGCGTGCTACAATGACAGGCGTCATCGACACCACTAGAGATGCAGGAGATGTAGATATCATCATCATCATCATCACAGTCACGATCATCTCTTCGTTTTGCTGGGGGTGCAAGGGAAGCTTTGATGATAACTGCGATCCAAACAGTCATCATCCTTATCGTTGTCATCATCATCATCGCGACGCAACGGGTGCTCTGCGATGATGATGACGATGATGATGACGTAGGTAGTAAAAAGCAACATAGCCCCTTGCACCCCCAGCAATGCCGAACGTGACACTTGGAATGTATATGTAAGAAAAGGACGATGACGACGACGATGACGGTGAAGAAAGTATGCTAACTATCAATGTAGCACCCCGCGTGGTTTCTCTGCCCCCGTCAGGGGCTTGTGTGGCTGAAAAACGGTTACAGTCCTCGGGCGACTCCGTCCATGCTGATGAAGCAACGGCGATGGTGGTGGCGGTGGTAATGATGATGAAAACGATTGCGAGGGTGACAACGCGAACAATTAGCGTAGCACCCCCGAGCGACTTTAGATGTGCAAGATAAGAAAGACACGATGATGAGATGGCCTGCCAGCGGACGATGATTATGATGATGATAAAGATCACTTGTGTGACAACTGTCATACGCTATGATGGTAGACATCACCAAGGTGACCATCATCATTATTCTCGTCCGCGGACGATTCAGGGGGCGCTACGATGATAGTTGTCGTCGGCGCCACTGGGGACGCAGAGTGTGCTACGATAATAGTTATCGTCATCATCATTGTCACCAGCATCAATGTCATCACTGTCTCATCGTCGTCTCGTTCCAGAAGCCAAGAGTGACTCTAGACATCGCTGGGGATGCAAGGGATGCTATCACGGTAGTTATCACCAGAACCACCATCACCCTCGTCACGATCGGCGTTACGACGCGCGAGAGGTATCATCGCCGCTGGTTCTACAATGATAGTTATCATCATCACCATCATCATCAGCAGTATTATCACTCATCAAAGTAATCATTGTCTCGCGCTCCCTTTCTTGTCTTACCGCCAATCTTGTTAAACGGTCGCCTTACAAGCGGCACTTCGCCCTGCTCCAACGAACTGATAAGTTGTTGAAGAAGTTTGCCACGGCTGTCTTGTTCGAACGTAAAGGGCAACCGTTGAACAACTCAGGCGACCGCCGCGTCACGCAGGCCCTCTTTTTTCAGCACGCGGGCCAGACCCGGCGCGCCTTAAATTAAAGAGCTGGATTTAGCGAAGGGCTGACGCGCGCTTCCATCTCTTGCTCCTTCTTGCCAAAGGAGGCGCGTCCCCATCCTGCTTCCAGCACACAGACCTGGGATCACGCGGCATGCCTCCTGCGCGTTGTGCCTGGAAGGCAATCCTGCGATACTGCTGTCTGAAGCAATCCGTTCAGACCACGTGTATGTCAAGAAGAAATCAAGTCTTGCATCGTCGGAGACTGTGAGGCGCGTTTTACAAGCTAGAATCTAGCAGCATCTGTATTGATGAAAAATACAAGGCCCTTTAACCTACCATGAAGCATCTGTCGGACGCGCAAGGCAGCGAACAATTCCACTTGGCATGCCAGTTCTTGTCCAGCAGTCGCCCACGGGTTTGCAGATCGAACACAGCTGTGTAACCATCTTTGTCACCGTGCACTACGGCAACGGCTTTGAGCCGGACACACAGCTTACCCTTCTAGGGGGGCGTGACAGGGGGTTCAAAGACTGGCTCACTCCAGAAAATGCGCTCCCTGGGTGGGAGGTGTTCCTGCCAAGGGCGGGTAAGGATTTTGCAAGAGGTCTCAAACGGAAAGCCCCGAAACGACGGACTAGTTTCTTCAAGTTGGGCCAACACGTCAAGGATGCGCCCATCCTTGCAGGACGAAAAGTCCACCTGGCGCCTAGCACATCAAGTGCAGCGGGGCGTCTGATGCAGATTTCCATCCAAGGATGTCAAGCAATTCCACGGATTGCTCTGGAACAAGTGGTGGTGGGAGAAGAGATCCGACAAGGGCCTGGAGCAACGCGCGCGCCGAGGCAGTCGAAGGCGACCAAAAGGTCTCAAGTCCTCATGGATACCCGCCTGCCACGAGAGAGGGCCAAGGTCCTGGTGAATGGGAGCAGACCAAATCTGCCCAGCAGGCATTGGCCAAGACATGTGCCCCGACTTGACACAATTGGCAATATCAGCAGATATCAAGAGCGCATAGTCAAGGTCCAGCAAACGAATCTTTTGTGAGGCAAGCGCCTGGCCTGGCAGTCATCGTTAAGCCTGAGTTTCTTCGTGTTCCAAGAGGCCTGCGTGACTCCAAACCTTGGGCAAGGGAGCCCGCTGGAGCTTCCAAGAACGGGCCCGGCAACTCTCCAAGAAAGACTTCTTCCTCTGAGTTGCTGAAGCGCTATCGGCGATATGGTCTGAGCTCTTTTGTCCTTGAGAGAGCATCTCCGCCAATGCGCTTGTCTCCTCAACAGGCTCTTAGTTATGGTCAAAGGCGAAATGGTCAGGGATGGCGCGCGAACCAGTCAACTTTACACCACGTTGCAAGCGATAACCTGCATGTCGTTGTACCCAGATCCTGCAGCAACACTTCAAAAAGAACTGCGCTGCCTTCGCTTCCGTTTCGAGGTGGGGAGGCATTGAGTTGCGAAGGGCCTCTCTCACTTGCTGATAACCCGACATTGAGGGCCCATGCTTTTTTCAAAAAACCTAAATAGCCGGACGTCAGCACAGCGAAGAAAGCCTTTCTTGCAGGCGTGTCCATGGACATTAATGTTGTTCAAGCCTGGCAACGCAAGAGGGTGGCTTTCGTCGCGAAGAGGCGGTGGCTCGCGAAGAAGCGGTGGGGTAACCTGCGTTCGCGCGCCTTGAGCGGGTACCACAGAAACATGCAACGTTAACGCAATCTGGCTCAACATCAATGTAGCAGTGTCTCCAAGGATTCCTGATCCTTAGGGACCTGGTGCTTACAGCGTGAAAACTAGCTGTTGCCAATGCTCTGCGTAGCGCCCGCCCAGAGAATATTTCTACCGCCTCCGGGCGCGCGCACGGATTATTTCAACCAGTCTTCCAGCATAGTCTCAATCCTCTTGGGCATCTCTTTCCAAGAAGGATCTTGCGCTTCGGGGAAACATGGTCCATTGAAGAAAGAGCAAGTTGGGTGGTTGTGAGCGGTTTTCGTGGAACATCCCTCTCGACCCTTGCGCTCTTCTGCGTGCCACCCGTCCACCTTGGTCTCCCTTGGCCATAAGCTGCCCAGGCGAGGCAGCCAGCCCCTGGTACGCTCTGCAAGCAATACCCGCATCTGCTTGTCTGCGCTGAGTACCTGGCCAAGACCTACGGGCCGGAATCCATTGGGCTCATCGCGCAACACGCGCTGGAACAAGTAATTGCGCCAGCGTTCATTCACAGGGAAACCGACAACTGGGGCAATGTCAAGGGCAAGCGCCCTTGGCTGCCAAGCCGCTCTAAGCTTCAATTCGGTTCCCGCTGGGGCAGGAGTTTGATCAATTGCCTTCCGGACCTCGTTGTTACCCGCTGCGTCAATTTTGACGCCTGAGTCATGTTTCTCATTCAAGACCTCATGGTTCCTGGAAAAACAAATCTCTGGTTGACACACACACACACACGAGAATTCTCCTCAAACATTTGCACTGCGCGGTCAACCAAGCTACTGGATATTCTTGAAGACAACTGGAGACTTTCGCTAAAGGATGAAGACGAGCTGAACTGCAGCACAAAATTGATGAGCCAACAGCACTTCTTGCCTTAGCAGAATCCATACGCAATTGTCTCAGCCAGAAGTTATGCGTAGTAGCAAACGCAAAGGCGCCAAAGCTTGCCACATTCCGCGCCACCGAGAGAACCCAAAGACGTGAAGCCCTGCCCGATGCGTGGATGCACACGTGATCACCCGGGCAACTCTTTCTGGACCAGCGCTGTGATCCGCAACATAGCCTGTCGCTTGCAATTTCTCCTGAAGTGCACTCCACAGAAGCAAGCGGGCCAAAGCGGGCTTCCAGAACCCAACAAAAAGCAGCTTCGCCACTGCGAGAATTGTTCTTTCCTCCACTTGCCGAGAAAGGTCCTGGCATTTCTTTGCCAAGGCACACAGCGACTCTGGTTCTGAAACCTAGATGTCCCCCGCTTTGGAAAAGTTCACGATTGCCTCCCACAGGCAAACTTACCAGCTCTAAGAGCAAAGCGCGTCACAAGGCACGGGCCCAAACATGCTCAAGAGGCACATCTGACAGCAAGCACGTGCGGGCACACTCGAGCTTGGTAAACGGTTCCATTTCATCTGCAAAGCTTGCATCACTGGGGCGTGGATCAGCTCCAGCCACCCTTTCTGCTCTAAAAGCACTTGGCAAACTCAAGCTTGGAAACGGCGTCAAGCATCTTTTGCGTGTTTGCCAAAACTGCGACCGTGGCATTGCGGAACACACTTGTCCATGGATGCCTCGCCGATCTAAGTGGGGCT